GTTCGAAACTACCAGCCGCTCCGCGGGAGAAAGATGAGGCTTTCTACTCCCGTAAGGATTTACACCCTCGGAAACCCTGTACAGGGTCGCTATGGGTCGGCTCCGACTCGAAGGCACTTAACAACAACAACAACATAGCATAGTGTGGAGTCTTGGTGTGGTACTGGAGGATAATGCACTGCGCCACAAGGTCAGTTTGAACCACAAGATTGGCAGTTTAAACTCACCAGCTGCTCCTTGGAAACCCTATACAAGGTTGCTATGTGTCCTAACAGACTTGATGACAGTTAACAACAATAGCAAAGCATAATGTAGGATGCTATAGGATAGGCACTGGATTGCTAACTTCAAGGTCAGTGGTTCAAACCCATATAGCCGCTCCTCAGAAACCCTATAGAAGATTTCTATGAGACAGAACTGACTCAATGGGACTTAACAACAACAGCATAGTGTAAAAACAGATTCGGGGACCAAAATATCCTGTTCTGTTGTCTACTTTAAGTTATTGAGCCTCCTTGTGCTTCACTTTCCTTGGCATTCTAACAGTACTACCTCATAATGTTATTGTGAGGATCAAATGAGTTAGTATATGTAAAATACTTGATTCATAGAAGTGCTATTTTATATGCTGACTGTTAATCTTGATTTATGCTTATTTTTATCAATAGTGTCATTATTATTTGTTGCTATGAGAATTTTTATATGAATCCAAAATATAAACAATTAGATAGCTAACTGAGGCATGGAAAATATTCTATCAAAATTTTTTTTTCCTTTTAAAGCAAACTTATCTGCCTCTCAAAAGACATTTAGTAATAAATCACTGTTCAGTTTATCATGAATTAACATAGATGAGTGATTTTTTTTTTTCCTGAGAGTTTCTCACTAAAATGATCATGTCTTTAAAAGTTTGCTTTTATTTACTTCAGTGCTCACTTTAGCGATGTTAGATTTAATAATTATGTCCTACTTCAGAAGTAGTTAAGAAGGGAAAAATTTAAAATGAGAATAGACAATAGAATTCAAAGATAATGTTGTTGTTGTTATGTACTGTGGAGTCGGTTCCGACTCATAGTGACCCTGTACAGGGTTTCCAAGGCTGTAAATCTTTATGGGAGCAGAAAGCCTCATCTTTCTACTGCAGAACCACTGGTAGTTTTGAATTGCCGACCTTGAGGTTAGCAGCCTGATTCGTAACCACTTAGTGATGTCAGAAATCATTGTACTTACTGCAGATGGAACAAAATTTGCATCTAAACTTTCTATTTGGTTGAACTGCTTCTAAAGGTATATGTATTTATCACAACTTTTCATTTCATTCTGTTTAAGTATGAGAAAACTACTTCAGCAGTGTATGATGTCGAAAATTGTATAGATACACTACTGGAGCTTTTACAAATGTACCGAGAAAAAGCTGGTGACAAAGTTGCAGACAAATGTGGAAGCATTTTTACTAAAACTTGTTGTTTGCTGGCTGTTTTACTGAAGACAACAAGTCGAGCCTCTGTAAGTACTAACTGGTTACTTTGTTTGATGTTATTTTTCTAATTCCCTAAGTATTTTCCCCTTGGGTCTCTTTCCTTTGGTATTATCACAACCAAATTAGGATTTTGTATGTATTCGAACATGCTTTTTGCACTAATAAAAATGAGTAATTGATATTAAAAAGTTATTGAAACTAAGAAACTTTTAAATATAACATACCAAATTCTGAAAATAGAATCTAATTCCATTTACCTTTTCTTTGAGGAAAGTAACAAAGTATTCTCACAAAGGAGAAAACCAGATATGCATGACTCCTTGCTTCTTCCTCCCCACCCCCACCCCTCACCCCCAATTATAATTCTAAATCCATTTCAGGCAGTTCTGTGGTGAGACCTCTGAGCTGTTCTCTAAGCATCTCCCCACGTAACCCTTAAACCACACTCCGATTTCCTGATTATTTGTTTGTTTGAGAAGTGTAGCATAGACCATGATAGGATTATGGCCTTCTTTCTGGAAAAAAAACAAACTGGAAAACTATTTAAAGATTGTAAGTGGGTGAGTGATTTTGCTGCAATTCAGATTTTAGTAATCATTCTGTTACTTGATTGGAGAAGACTTAGGAGAACATGTACAGATATGAGGAGTCCATTAAGGAAAGAGGCAAGGACAGATGGTCAAGGCAAGAGATTATGGCTGAACTTGGACTGTTTTTGAGAGATAAAGTGGATAACTTTTGAAACTAACGAGTTAAAATCACTGGATTGGTAACTCAATATAATAGGTATATGTTGATTGTAACATTTACTTTTGTACCACCTTTGAAGAGTGCTTTCTTTGTGATGTCTTTGAAAATTAGTTCATAATATCATCTAATTTCTGAATTTAGTAAACTTTATTTTTTAGATTTGTTTTTGATTTTTAAAGCTTCGTAAGTTTATTCCATAGAGTTTATTTCTTCGCATTGATTTTGTTTATATAGTAGACACAAAAAAAGTAACACTTATAATTTGGTTTTAATAAATGTAATTTTTTTTGTTTTGTTTTAGGATGTTCGAAGTAGACCCCAAGTTGTTGATCGTATTTATCGTCTTTACAAACTTACATCTCAAAAACATAAAATGAATAATGAAAGAATACTTTATAAACAAAAGAAAAACTCTTCTATAAGTATTCCCTTGATTCCAGACACACCTGTTAGAACCAGAGTAGTTTCAAGGTAAGCATTTAATTGTAGTCCTAATTTTGTTCACTACTCATTCATTCATTTGGTAAGTATTTAATGAACAAGAATAGACTCTTTGTTACTAAAGGGTCTTCTCAATGAATAATGGAGTAATAACACTGAAAGAATATTCATTCATTTGGCAAATATATAATACAAACAATCCTTTCATGCAATTTCATGGAGATCACTTGAAAGGATTTTCCAACACCAACGACTTTTTCATTGCAAATACCTGTTTTGAAACAACATAAAAGATGACTATACAAATGGACATCTCCAGATGGAATACACAGAAATCAAATTGTCTATATCTATGGAAAGAGATGGTCCATATCATCAGCCACAACAATACCAAGGGCAGATTGTGGGACCATCAGTTGCTTAAATGCAAGTTCAGGCTAAGGCTAAGGAAAATGAAAACAAATCCATAAGAGCCACACTATGACATTGAACACAATCCACTTGAGTTTAGAGATCATCTCAAGAACAAATTTGATGAGCTTGACCTAAGACCACAGAAGAGTTGTGGAATGACATCAAGAACATCATACAGGAAGAAAGCAAAATGTCATTGAGAAGAAAGAAAAGACTAAAATGGATGTCAGAAGAGACTATGAAGCTTGCTCTCCAGTGGAAGAGATGAGGTGGTAAAGGAGCTAAACAGAAAATTTCAAAGGCCAGCTCAAGTAACAAAATCAAATATTGAAATGTGTAAAGACCTGGAGTTAGAAAACCAAAAGGGAAGAATTTCTCAAACAGAAAGAACTGGAGAAAAAAGTGAAGCCTCAACTAGCAATATTGAAGGATTCTAATGGAGTCCTCATGTGGTGCTGTAGGATAAGCAGTTGCCCTAAAGGTCAACTTGAACTGCCATGTTGGCAGTTCAAACTCACCAGCTGCTGCTTGGAAACCCATGCAGGGTCATTGTGAGTCAGATTCTACTCGACAGCAGTTAACAACAAAGGCAAAATATTGAATGATGCAGAAAGCATTGAAAGAGTACACAGAGTCATTGTACCAAAAAAAAAGAAATGGTTGATGTTCAACCATTTCAAGAGGTAGCATATGATCGCCTCCCGGGTCTGGGTCTTTACTGCATCGGAGGCGTGTCTAACGAGAGCCAGGTAGAAGCAGAATGGCCGTTCCCTTTTTGCTTAGGTGCCTGACCCCTACCAGGACCCGTGATACTGTGGACGCGGAGTGAGGCGAAGGTTGTCTGGGTTGAGCCTCACCTGATCCTAAGGCTCGCGTGCTCTTAGACTCTTCGGTCAGACTTCTAGTAGTCATTAAGTTCCGTTGTGTCGGTTCTGACTCATAGCTACCCTGTATAGGGTATCCAAGGAGCAGCTGGGGGGTTTGAACCACCGACCTTTTGGTTAGCAGTCCAGTGCTGATCTTACAGTACCACACGAGGACTCTGGGCCCGTCTTAGCTGAAGGAACTAATAAAAGTTACCTGAAACAAAGACCAGAAGACTTTGTAAATGGTGTGTGAGGCAATCCCTATACAAACAGCAGGAGTCCTGGTGTGGTGCTGTGGCTTAATGCACTGGACTGCAGAGTCGGTTTGAACATCAAGGTGAGGGCTTCAAGCTCACCAGCTGCTCCTCAGAAACCCCATACAGTGCTGCTATAGGTTGGAACTAACACGATGGCTTAACAAAATATCCTTCTAAAGTATTGTATATCTTGACCTTTATGCCACAATGTTGGCCGCCTCATGAGTCGCTATCACATAAGCACTGGACTGCCAACCGGAAAGTCAGAGAAATGAGTGGTGGATTGGCTCCAAGTAAAAGTACAGTATATGTATCCAACCTGCCCTTTTTCCTGACAAACAGTGACTTATACCGGATATTTTCCAAGTATGGTAAAGTTGTAAAGGTTACTATAATGAAAGATAAAGACACCAGGAAGAATAAAGGGGTTGCATTTATTTTATTTTTGGATAAAGAATCTGCACAAAACTGTACGAGAGCAATAAACAACAAACAGTTATTTGGTAGAGTGATAAAAGCAAGCATTGCTATTGACAGTGGAAGAGCAGCTGAGTTCATCCGAAAGCGACACTACTTTTATAAATCTAAGTGTTATGAATGTGGGGAAAATGGTCACTTAAGTTATGCCTGTTCTAAAAATATGCTTGGAGAACGTGAACCTCCAAAGAAGAAGGAAAAAAAGAAAAAAAAGAAAATTCCTGAACCAGAAGAACAAATTGAGGAAGCAGAAGAAAGTGATGATGAAGGGGAAGATCCTGCTCTTGACAGTCTCAGTCAAGCTATAGCTTTCCAGCAAGCCAAAATTGAAGAAGAAGAAAAAAAATGGAAGCCCAGCTCAGGGAATCCCTCAACATCAGATGATTCAAGACACCCACGGATTAAAAAAAGCACATATTTCAGTGATGAGGAGGAATTTAGTGATTAAAATGAATATTTATGATGTAAATACCATTAAATTTTAAAAAAATCTTAGAGTACAAAGTTCAGTGGGGAATAAAGATTACTTCTAGAACTTTGAGTATAAGAACACTTGTTACCAAATAGTTTTCTACTATAAAATAGTCCATAGGAAATTGAAAAACCTTTTTCAAGTATCATGTTTTAGCTTACCTTTGCATAGTAATAAAGATCAAGATTTGTTAATAAAAAAAAAAAAAAAGAGGTAGCATATGATCAAGAGTCAATGGTACTACTGAAAGAAGAAATTCAAGGTGCACTGAAGGCGATGGCAAAGGACAAGAGTGAAATCTTACAGCAAACTGAGGAAACATTGGAGTCACTCACTCAACTATGCTAAGAAATTTCCAAAGACAGGTGACCCAACGGAATGCATGAATCTTCGGACAATATCAGTAATAACATATTCAAGTAAAAGTTTGCTAAAGATAATTCAAAAACAGCTTCAGCAGTATACTGACAGCTAGCTGCCAGAGATTCAGGCTGGATTCAGATAGGAACATGGAACAAGAGATGTCACTGCTGGCAAAATATGGATCTTGGCTGAACATAGACTACCAGAAAGATGTTTACCTGTGCTTTACTGACTACACAGAAACTTTTGATTGTGTGGATCATGACAAGCTATGGACAACATTGCAGAGAGTGAGTATTCCAAAACACTTAATTGTGCTCCTCAGGAGACTATATGTAGATCAAGAGGCAGTCATTCGAACAACACAATGGGACACTGTTTAAAATCAGGAAAGGTGTGCAACAGGCTTGTATTCTTTCACTATACGTATTTAATCTGTATGTTGAACAAAGAATCTGAGGAGCTATATTATATGAAGAAGAAGAAGGTGGCAGCAGGATTGGAGGAAGACTCATTAGCAACTTGCAATATGCAGATAACACAACCTTGCTTGCTGAAAGCAAAGATGACTTAAAATACTTACTGATGAAACCAAAGACACAGCCTTTGGTATGGATTGCACATCATTGTAAAGAAAACAAAAAATCCTCATCCCTGAACAAATAAATAACACCAAGATAAATAGAGAAAGAAAAGATTGACATTGTCAAAGATTTCATTTTGCTCTAATCGTCCATCAACAAACATTGAGACAGCAGTCAAGAAATCAAATGACATATTGCATTAGGCAAATCTGCTGCACAAGACCTCTTTAAAGTGTTCAGGAGCAAAGATGTCAGTTTGAGGACTAAGGTGCGCCTGGCGTAATCCATGGTATTTTTAATAACCTCATAGGCATGTGAATGTTGACCATGAATAAGGAAGACCATGGAAGAATTGATGCATGTTAGTTGTGGTATTAGAGAAGACTATTTACTGCCAGAGGAAGTACGCCCAGAATATTCCTTAGAAGCCAGGCTGGCTAGACTTCGTCTCTCATACTTTGGACATATTATTAGGAGAGGCCAGACCCTGAAATAGGGCATTATCCTTGGTAAATGGAAGGTCATCAAAAAAAGAGGAAGATCCCCAATGAGATGGATTGGCACAGTGGCAGCAGCAATAAGCTGACGCATAGCAATGACTACCGGGCAGTTTTTTGTTTTGTTGTGCATAAGGTCACTATGAAGGAGCTCTGGTAGCGTAGTGGTTACAAATCAGGCTGTGAACTGCAAGGTTGGCAATTCGAAACGACCAGCTGTTCCATGGAAGAAAGATGAGGCTTTCTTCTCCCGAAAGGATTTACAGCCTTGGAAAGCCTGTACAGGGTCGCTATGAGTCGGAACCGACTCCATGGCACATAACAACAGCAAGGTCACTATGAGTCAGTACTGACTCAATGGTACCTAAGAGCAACAACATTTATTGCATATTTAGTGGTTCCTCAGAAAATGTACTCAATAGTTAAGAGCTAGGACTACAAAGCTTGTAATTAAGCTTTGCTATATTATTTTTCTGCTTGAAGCATAGTGGTTATGAATCAGGGTCGAACCTCACAGTCAGTAGTTCGAAACTACCAGCTGTTCCAAGGGGGGAAAGATAAGGCTTTCTGCTCCAGTAAAGATTTACAGCCTCGGAAACACTGTACAGGGTCAATATAAGTCAGAACTGACTACACGGCACATAACAACAACAAGACAAGTAATGTTGTTTGAAGCTGACAGAAATCCCTCTTGATCAATATGTCAACATATAACTTTTCACATATTCTCTAACACTTGCAAGTTAAAAAAAAAAAAAAAAAAGAAAGTAGACCTGTCCTGTTAGAGATGAGAAATGGTGTAGAGCTATATCTTGTATAATGTGCTGAAGCTGTACAACATGAAGCTGTTGAATTCAGGAGAAAGGCAATAAACAAGCAAATAAGTAGATTGTATAACAAAGACTAACAACACAACTACAATTTGGAACACCTGCTTAAGAAGGATGATTAGAAAATTCTCTCTGAGATGTAATATTTAAAGTGAAACCCAAAGGATGATTAAAAGGAAAATGTAAGATAGATTGATGATGGGAGTTGAATCATGGGCTCTGTTTTGGATGTGCCACAGATGCCCATAAGATAAGTAAGAAGAACATACAATAAGTCACTGAAAAATTAGATCTACAATTCTGGGCAAAAGTCCAGGCTAGAGATACAAATTAGGGAACATTAGTTTCAGCATATAGATGGCATTTATATTAAAGTAATGAGAATATTTTAAACTTAGGAAGAAGAGTGTAGATAGAAAAGAGTTCCAAGCAGAAATTCAAGGTATCCCCAACTTGTTCCATAAACTAGGTAAAGAAAAATACAGCTAAGAGCTCTGAAAAGGAATTGTTAATCAGAAAAATATTTCAGAGTGTTGTTGATATGTATTCAAACTTGTAGGTCATTGGTGAATATGGTACCTGCATGCCAAATTAATTAGGGTTGAAAGACTATTCTAACATATCAGAAACATTAAACATCTATGAATTTATGATGAAACAGAAAAAAAAGTCACTGGTTGACCTGGGAGGCTAGAGAAACAACTTATAAGTCTAATTATGGGTCAAATGACATGACCAAGTATTTGCATAAAAACTATATCTAGAGTAATATGGAAAGTTCTTTATTAACCAAGTCCATTTGCTAAATGCAGAAGAAATTTGAGACTGTTTCTATTTAGTGTGAAACTGTAGGATAAATACTGGACTACTAACCACAAGGTCAACAGTTCAAACCCATCAGCCACTCCTTGGAAACCTTATACAGTGTTGTTTGAGTCAGAACAAACTCTACGGCACTTAATAACATCAGGAGTGCTCTTGGTGTTCTGGGTTAGATTTTTGGTTGCTAACTATATGTTGGTGGTTCAAACCCACCAGTCACTCCATGGGAGAAAGATAAAGCTGTCTACTCATAAAGATTTACAGTCTCAAATACCCCTGTATAGGATTGCTGTGAATCAGAAATGACTTGATAGCAGTGGGTTTGTTTTTGGGGTATAATGAAATAACTCTACTCTAGACTATTATTTTTAGTCCTAGTATGGCACTGTAGGAAAAGCACTGGACTGCCAACTTGAAGATCAGTGGTTCAAACCTGCCAGTCGTTCCTCAGAGGAACTATGCAGGGTCGCGGATTACTCTTTTTTCCTCTTCTGTCTTCCTCTAGTCAAGTTCTGATCATCCAGCCATTGAAGCCAGGTCACATGGATACTATCTGCAAGTATGGGTGTTCCTGTGTAGTTCCCCTCAATTCATATCAGCTGGATACTTCACTCTCTGCTCTAGTCCTCTGTGGCCATGTCCCTGTCCCTAGGCCCAGGAGTCCCCAGGTTGCGCCATACTGCTGGCCAACCAGGTCTTAATCCAGGTTGACAGGAATCTGTTAGGCTGCTTTTGAAAGACATGTTGTTGTTAAGCGCTGTCAAGTAGGTTCTGACCCATAGCGACCCTGTATAGGGTTTCTGAGTCTGTAAATCTTTTGGGGAGCAGAAATCCTCTCCCATGGAGCGGCTGATAGTTTCAAACAGCTGACCTTAAGATTTGCAGCCCAATTCGTAACCACTATGCTACCAGAGCTCCTTTTGAAAGACATACCATATTTTTATCTTTTACCAAATCTTACATTCCTGAGATCAGCGTTACTTGGTCTTGATGTGGTTTTTTAAAAATATTTTGCAAGATTCACGCTGCTAAAATATTTAATAAGAATTTTTGGGTTCAGCATTCCTGAAGGATATTGGTCTATAGTTTTCTTATGTTTTTGTATATTTATGTGGTCAGTGCGTGAGTTAGGAAATGTTTGCTTCTATTTTCTGAAAAAAACTTTACAGAACTGGCATATTTCTTTCATACATCTTTGGTAGAATTTACTTGGCAAAGCAGTCTTTGTTGGAAGGTTTTAAACTATAAATTAAATTCATTTAATAAATATAAAGTTATTTGAGTGCTGTTAGAATGTCAATTGTTAAGTGCTACTGAGTGGGTTCTGACTCAGAGCAACACTGTATAGGGTTTCTGAGAAGTTGGTGAGTTTGAACTGCCAACCTTGTAGTTAATAGTCCAGTGCTTATCCCACAGTGCCATACCAGGACTCCAGAATGTCAATTAGGTAATGCTTCTTGGTCATTTAAATTTTCCTTGTTTTCACTGATATTTTGGACTAATTCTATTAATTAATGGACAGAATTATTGAAATCTCCAACTGTAATTTCAACTCATCTGTTTCTTTTTCCAGATATAGCAGTTTTTTAATCATATATGTTTTGAATCTGTTTTTAAATGAGTATATCAAGGGTTGTTATGTTTTTATAATGGCCCTTTTATCATTATTCCATTTTCTTCTGTATCCTTTGTTATAGTCCTTATTTTGAAATATACTTTGATAATATTAACTGTTATCTCATTTCTCCTTTGTTCTTTTTTTCCCTTTTCTTGCCTAGTTTAAAAATAACTCATTTAGTACTTTTTATTATTGAATTTTACTTCACTACTAGAAGTTCCACTTCTTTAAAAAATATTTTTACTGTGGTTGCTGTTGGTCTGCAATATATATATCCATGCAGTCTGTCCTTAATTAATACTGTATAATTGCCATAGTATTTTAATTTATTTTACCAACCAGTATCTTGGCACAAAGATTGGAAAAATCAAGAAATCAACGACAGAAATCTTCACATAGAGTTTCTGAAGCACCTATGTAGATCCTGCTACTCATTTTCAGAATTGATAGGAGATAAAGAAACTCTGTAATGATTTCACAAGTATGCATTCAGTAAAATCCCAAAGGGGACAAATTCTACAAGATAAATGCTTATCAAATAGTTGGAAAGAAAAAGAGAGAGAGAGAGAATCTTTATGGTAAAGGGGAGTTGATAATTATAACCAGATACAATACAAGTAGTCCCCAACTGTGACAGTGTTGTGTTCTGGTGACTATGTTTTAAGTCGGTTCTGGCATAGCTCGAGTACCTCATTCTTTTTTAAGTTTTCTAAGAGTGAACATCTGGGAATGATAACATCAGCAAATTATGCTCTGCAAAATTCTATGTAGTACATATTACTAATGATAAGCTGGGCAGAAACCAATGGGCATTCATAGTACAGTTTGTCATAAATACATAAATAGATTATGCCATAAATGGGGCACTGTCTGTATGTTGATATGATTTGCATCCTTATTCTAATACGTCAGCTGTTTTAAAAACAATATGGTTTGCATGGGAATATGTGAACACTGACTAGATATTTGATGATAGTTTGTTCTTACCATACTTCTAGGTGTGATAATAATATTAAGGTTAAGATTTTTATAAATGAATCCTTCTCTTTTAGAGATACATATTGGGAGATTTACTTATGAAATATATGATGTCTGAGGTTTTAAAAAAATTACAAAGTAAATTTGGAAGGTTAATACATGAAACAACATGGGATATAGGGTGGTAATTGTTGAAGTTGAATAATGGTTAACACGGAGTTTATAACTCCATTCATTTTGTTGTCTGTTTAACATTTTTAATGATGTTTTTTAACATGAATAAAAATTGCAGAGGCAGACAAAAGTGTAGATAACACTGTATTGGCTTTGAAACAGATTAGAGAAATGGGATGGGTATTAGAAAGAATGTGGGGTCAAGGAAGATTATGTCTCTTTGTAAGGTACTGCAGCAAGTTTATATGCTAATGATATTAGGACTAAGAATAGTGAAGAAAGATCTAATATTCTGTGGCGAAATTTTTTGGCAAGTGAGAGAGGGTAGAGTTGGTAGCACAGACGGAGGGCTTGACTTTTGATAGGATGTATACTTCTTCCATTTTTAGCAGGAACGAATGAGAAGATGGAAATGCTTAAAATAGATATTTATGTGAAAAGAATCATGAGCTTCCCCTTCTGATAGATACTATTTTCTCAGTGAAGTATGAGATCTTCTGGGAAGCAGACCAGGGAGGGTATGTGAAGGAGATTGAAAAGAGGAAAGGAATGCAACAGTTACATTGGAGAGTGAAAAAGTAAGCATTTTCAGTTGTCCGTTTTAGGTTAGCAGTCATTGGTATAAGGTAATGTCAGTCATTTGGGTTTGTAGTTTTGTTTAGCATTGTCAGCTGTACAGGTATGGAGAAGGGAGATAATAAATTAGTCATAAAACTATTGAATTAGATTATAATTTTCCAGGTGAGTTTAATAAGAGATGAATAACGTAGGTAAAGACATTTACAAGGAGATTATATTGGTAGATTTAATTGTGACAAGAGAAAAGTGAAAATATGAGGGTTCTGGATGATTATGTGTTGAAGTCAACTATATTGGAAAGGGTGAAAACATTGAAGTAGTGGGTGTGTTAAAGCACATGACAAAGATGAATTAGAAGTGGTGGATAGAGAATAGAAGTCTCAGAATTTGAGGTGATGACAAAGTCTAGTATGACTTGACTGCATGAGAAAGGATTGGCTGAGGTACAATAGATGTAAAGATGGGCAAAAACTTACAGAGCAGCTTGTTGTCTTTGTTTTTCACATGGATGTTGATGATTCTAAGTATGGTCAACAGTAGTTGATAAAAGACCAAGAACCAGGTTTCCAAGGAATCAGACAGAAAAACTAGGAGTTTGGTAGAAGACCAACAAAAAAGAAAGTGGTGGAGCTAAATAGCATAAAACTCAAAGGAACCAGAATCATTTTTTAGGATGATGGAGTGAGATCCTCTGGAACCAGTCATGTATAGTAAGATGATGCACATCCATGTGTCTCTGAACAGGTAATAAAGTAGGATGTATTCAGAAACAGGCACATTGTATTTAAGATATTAATGCCTTTTTTTTTTTTTTTTTTTTTTCCCCACCACAGACTTAAGCCAGATTGGGTTTTAAGAAGAGATAGCCTTGAAGAAATAACTAATCCTCTGCAAGCGATTCAAATGGTGATGGATACACTTGGCATGCATTATTAGTAAATGTAAACATTTTCAGAGTATACAGCAGAAAGAACTGTTACAACTAATCATGTATGTGTATATTTTATGTGTTTTTGGACAACCTATAAAATCTGACTTTGTATTAAAATTAGAATAAATGACTATGAAACTGGTCATTACAGTTTTCAATGCTTTTTTTTTTTTCAGTTGGTGTTGTTGGTAGGTCCTGTCAAGTTGGTTCTGACTCATAAGTGACCTTACAAACAGCAGAAGGAAATAATGCCCGGTCCTGGGCTATCTTCACAATTGTTATGTTTAAGCCCATTGTTGTAGCCACTGTGTCAGCCCATCTCATTGAGGGTATTCTGCTTTTTATCTGACCCTTTAATTTGCCAAGTATGATGTCCTTCTCCAGAAACTGGCCCTCCTTTCCTGATAACATGTCCAAAGTAAGATAGTGTCTTGCCATCCTGACTTCAAAGGGGCATTCTAGCTGGACTTCTTCCAAGATAGATTTGTTTCTCTGGCAGTCCATGGTATCTTCAATATTCTTCACCAACACCATAATTCAGAATTATCTGAATTATCAAACTACTCTCCTTCTTTATTCTTTGTCCAGCTTTCACATACATATAAGTCAGGTGTGCCTTAGTCCTTAAAGGGACATCTTTGCTCTTTAACACTTTCAAGAGATATTTTGCAGCAGAGTTACCTAAAGTAATAACGTCTTTTGATTTCTTGATTGCAGTTTCATGAGCGTTGTTATGGATCCAAGTTAAATGAAATCTTTGACGTCTTCTCCGTTTATTATGATGTTGTCTATTGGTCCAGTTGTGGGAGTTTGTTTTGTTTACATTGAGTTGTAATCCATACCAAAGACTACAGTCTTTGATCTTCATCAGCAAGTACTTCAAATCATCCTAGTTGACAGCTTTATGCATGTAATGCGTTAATGTGTCACAAAATGAATTATAATACTCTTAATGCATTCCTAGTAATTTAAATTGTGGCGCTGTAGGATAAGCACTGAATTACAAGGTCTGTAGTTCAGATTCATCAACTGCTCCTTGGAAACCATATACAGAGTTGCTATGAGTCGGAACTGACTCAATGGCACTTAGCAACAACAACATGTTATTTTAAATGCAATTATATTCCTGAAGGGTGAAAAACAGTATTTTGATCCTGTTTTATGTAAAAGTTGAGGTGTTTTTCTGAAACTAATCTTCGAAAGTAAAGATAATGCTAATACTGAAAGTAAGAAGAAAATGAAATAATCCTACATAGGCTTATTAGCAGCATCCTCAAGTATATTCTTGATTGACTAAACCATACAAATTGAAGGAAAATGAAAAGAAATGCCAGTTACCTTTGTATAAGATAACTAGTTAACCAGTAGGTAAGGACCCAAGATGCCAACTCATGACAACAAAACCCTTATGCGTAAGAGTAGAACTGTGCTCCAGAGGATTTCAATGGATGGGTTTACAGCAGTAGGTCTTTCTTCCAAAGAGCCTTTGGTGGGACTCAAACTTCCAACCTTTTAGTTAACAACCAAGTGTGTTCAGTTTGCACCACTCAGGGATTCCAAGCTCTTCACTTTTAAATAACTAGGGCTATCAATTATATGGGAGGAAGATGATATTGGTTATAATAAAACATTACATGCTACCTGACACACACAACGGACCTGAAAATGACTCAATGGTGAAACAGCACTTGGCATTTTTTCTAGATCTTTGGGTCACTGTCTGCTTCAGAGCCACAGAAACCTAACTCTAGTGCCTATTTGAAATCTGGTAGGGTTTCAAAGTCTTACTTATACTTGAAATTTCTGTCTATATAAGCAATAACATTTTTTTTTTTTAATAAAGTAGCTGGATGTGAAGAAACAATTTAGCCACTTTTTAAAATTTGTTAGAATAACTTGGTTTTGACACATAGCAACCCTGTATAGCATTTCGGAGGAGCAGGTGGTAGACTTTAACTGCCAGCTTTGTGGCTAGCAGTCCAGTGCTTATCCTACAGTGACACATGAGCACATGTTGAAAAGTATATTGAAATTACGTCTGCAGAATGTTTAGTATGATTTGCTGAACTTTCTACCTCTGCCCCATGAAGTATTTTAGGAGCTCATAGTAATTTGTAGTTTCCATATACTTCAGTTTTTGTTGACTCTATAGGTTGTTTTTTAGGTCTATTTGTTTTAACATAATTTTAGAATAACCTGTTTACTTTGATAAACTATACTGCTAGAATATAACAGACCACATTAAAAATGTTATTGATACTAATTTTTTCTAACATGGTTATTGCTAACTGATGTTGCAAGTGGAATATTTAGATGATGTAATGAATGCAAGATGATTTCCAGATGCTAAAGGTTATTCCATTGGTTCCCAGACTAGCAGTTTTACAATTTTTATTAATAGCTAATTTCTAATATTAGGAACATAGATTTGTGTGATCAATCTGTATCAAAATTCCAAGTCTTCATAAAAACGAAAAGGTGTATATGTATGAGTTAGAGGTTGGGAGAACTACTAAGAAATGATTAAGACTTTAACTTTTAGAGGTTGCTACTTTCTACAGCTACCTCTCCTGTCAGTTTGTCGTACCGTGGTGACTTGTGAGTTGCAGTGATTCTGAAAGCTATGCCACAGCTATTTTAACTACCAGCAGGGTTACCCATGGTGGACAGGTTTCAGATGAGCTTCCAAACGAAGATAGACTAGAAAGAAGGAGTGACGAACTAATTCTGAATATTTAGTTACTGAAAACTTTATGAATAGCAGAGAAACACTGTCATATATAGTGCCGGAAAATAAGCCCCTCAGGTTGAAAGGCACTCAAAATGCAACTGGGGAAGAGGTGCCTCCTCAAAGTAGAGTTGACTGTGATGATGGATATGGAGTAAAGCCCAGGGGAATAAAGATCTCAGGACCTTCATTTACTGATGGGGCACCACACAAAATGAAGAGAAACAGCTGTAAACATCCACTAATAATTGGATCATGGAATGCATGAACTATGAATCTAGGAAAATTGTAAATTGTCAAAAATGAAATGGGAAGCATAAACATTGATATCTTAGGCATTAAAGACCTAAATTGGGCCGGGATTGGCCATTTTGAATCTTGACAACCACATGGTTTACTATGCCAGGAATGACAAAGAGGAACGGTGTTGCATTCATTGTCAAAAAGAACATATCCAGATCAGTCATGAGGTACATCGCTATCTGTGATAGAATAATTCCATGCACCTACCGGGAAGAACAGTTAATACCACTATTCAAATTAATGCACCAACCTCTAAAGTCAGTGAGGATGAAATGAGAAGAATTCTACCAATTTCTTCAATCTGAAATTGATCAAACATACAATCAAGATGTATTGATAATTACTGGTGATGGTAATGCAAAGGTAGGGAACAAGAAGGAACAGTAGTTGGAAACTAAGGCCGCCTTGGTGATAAAAATGATGTTTGAGATTGCATGAAAGAATTCTGCAAAATCAATGATTTGTTCATTTCAAATATTTTTCTTTAGACAGCTTAAGAGACTATTATACACATGGACCTCACCAGATGGAATACATATAAATCAAATTGACTACATCTGCAGAAAGAAATGATGGAAAAGCTCCATATCATCAGTCAAAACAAAAGCTCCATATCATCAGTCAAAACAAGGCAGGGACAGATTGTGGAACAGACCATCTACTTTTCTTACGCAAAGTCAAACTGAAGTGGAAGAAAATGAAAACAAGTCCACAAGAGTCAAAATATGACCTTGAATATATGCCATCTAAATTTAGAGATCATCTGAAGAACAGATTGAATACATTAGACACTAAAGACCAAAGACCAGAAGAGTTGTGGGATGACATCAAGAACATCATACATGAAGAAAGCAAAATGCCCTTAATTAAGAAAAGAAAGAAAGAAAAGATTAAAATAGATGTCAGAAGAGACACTGAAACTTGCTCTCTGGCATACAGATGCTAAAGCAAAAGAAAGAAACGAGGAAGTAAAAGAGCTGAACAGAAAATTTCAATGGTCAGCTTGAGAAGACAAAGCCAAATATTACAACAAAATGTGCAACAATCTGGAGTCAGAAAACCAAAACTGAAGAACATGCTCAGCGTTTATCAAGCTGGGGGAACTGAAGCAAAAAAATCCAAGCCTTGACTTTTGTTATTGAAGGATTCTCTGGGCAAATTATTGAATAATGCAGAAAGCATCAAAAGAAGATGGAGAAGAATAAACAAGATGGTTGATCGGGTGGAAGTGCAGTAAGGAGCTCCATCGGCAACAACACAGAATACAGGACCAAGCAAGCTCTGTGGATGGTCCCAGAACTCTGACCCACATATAAAGGAATACTTAGAAGGTTGGAAGGATTAGAGCTAGTGGAATTTGTAGCAGAAGCAAGAAATTCACTGCTTTTTAATTCAAGACACTCAGCTCCTCCAGAAGTTGCCATCTTGGGCGAGACCAAGCATGGGAAGGATCAGAGAAGCCACTGAAGTCTGAAAGAACTGCGGAGATAAAGGTGTGGGCATTCTTTTCATTTGGTATCTGTTCATTGGTCCCTTGCTGTTTGCGCACCTCCATTCTGGTGACTATAGGGGTGCCTTATCTAGTGCACATCCCAGCCCCACCTTTGGAGGGTTCTACTATGCATGCGCACAGATCTCCTCAAAATTTAAAGAGACAGTTTCCACTTAAAACCAAATGGCCGACTTCTGGAAAAAGAGGGCAGATTGGGTGGAAATGCAGTGACGAGCTCTGCTGGGAACAACACATAACACAAGACCAAGGAAGGCTCAGGGGATGGTCCCAGCACTCTGAACCACATATAAAGGAATATTTAGAAGGTTGGAAGACTTACAGCTGGGGAGTTTGTGGCAGAAGCAAGAAATCCATTGCTTCCTGCTGCTCCAGGAGCCAACATTTTGTATGCGACCGAGCAGGGAAAGGATCAGAGCAGCCACGCATGCCTGACAGAGCCACAGAGATAGAGGTGTGGACAT